GAGTTAAATCCGAACAATCACATACCCAGCAAACCACAACTGAAAAGAATGCAAACTGTGATTAGGTCTCTGACAGGAGAAAAAAGCAAAAAAAATTCAAAAAGAGAAAAAAAAAACCTTTATTCAAGGCGTTCAAAGCAGCAGCAGCATTCCATCGGCAGTGTCAACAACAGTGCACAGGTGAGCCTAAAAAACACCCCGGCCCCACCCAAACCCACACCCGGACCAACAAGCCCCCACCCACCCTCATTTGCACCCTTTTCCGTCCATTGTTTTGCGGGCGAAGCCGTAACAGGTAGCCTTGTGATGTAATGTTTTTCCTCCTGAAAAAGAGGAGGAGATATTATATAAGTTTAAACCACCACTACGTTCCCTAGGCAAAAACGAAGAGGTAGGCAAATATATACTTGCCTCAGCTTTCGGGTCTCGGGGCTACCTGACCAAAATAGTTGATACTGCCAGTCAGTCAAAAAAAAAAAGAGTCCCGCTCGTAGAGTCGTAGCATGATTTGCATTGGGAAAAACAGGCTTAGAGATTGTGGTGGTCTAACCAGATTCTAAACCTCTGATGTCTTGTTATGAAATTATTGGTGTGATTAAATTTCCTAAATGTTACGCCATGATAGCACTGTCTACAGAAACTCCTAAGGTAATGTGTGCACATACTACACAAGCCTTTTGGGATAAACTTGTCGTGCAGATTCAGTGAAGATGGACTTAGCTTGAGACCAAACCAGATACGTCATGGCGTAACATTTAGTATGTGTGTACACATTACCTTAGGAGGGGGGGCGTCCGGATTTGAGTAAGGGAGTCGATAATTAGTTGAATAACTTGAATTTAGTTCTCGACTTCTCATAATATTTTTTAATTATTAGTTTTTTTTTTTTTTTTCCCAACTAATTGGTGTTTTGACTTKTTTTTTTTTTGGCAGGAAAAAAAGCTCCAACTATACAACTTTGATGGGAATAAGGAAAGAGAATGGCTGCTTGACTCAATCATTCGGTATATCAAGGTATTAAAATACTATTAATTTATTAAATGAATTTAGATCGCTATTTTAGTTTTTTTTTTCTCCTAAAATTGAAAAGAAAAGATATAGTAGTCATTAACCAGTTTGATTACCAATCAATTATGATATATGACTATCATCATAGTATCATGGTTGTCAGAATTAATTAATATTATGATTTCTTAGTATTCTTACTGATTTATAAAATTGACATTGTTTCATGTGGTTAGTTCGTTGAATGCTCGGTCCAAGAGAAGCTCCCCCAAAGGAAATTCCTTGCATCTCCAACATTTCACAAAAGACATGGACAATTTTCAGAACTTCTAAAACTCCAAAACTGGGCTTTCTATCCTCTAGCAACACCTAATATAAATCTCTCTTCCCTCTCTCTCTCTCTCTCTCTCTCTCTCTCTCTCTCTCTCTTACACACGCACACACACATATGTACTCAAGGGTAGCCCCAATGCATTCTGCTTTAGCCTCCACTATCACTTGGTACATATTTCGTTTTTTTTTTTTTTTTTTGTNGAGAGAGAGAGAGAGAGAGAGAGAGAGAGAGAGAGAGAGAGAGAGAGAGAGAGAGAGAGCGCAGAAGGGATATCTTCCCAGCGAAGGTCAAAATGCAGGCCAACAGGGAGGAGGTGCCCAGGCAACCTCTATTCTGCAATCAGTGGCTTAAGGATAGGCCGGACAAGCCATGGAGCTTGATGGCGCAGGACGACAGATGGGCTTCATGGGTGGAGAGAGGTGTCTGGGAGATAAAGCACTTATGGGACAAAGACCGCAAGCGATGGAAAACCCATACGGAACTCCGGAAGCTCCTGAAGGAACGCCATAACCTGCAACAGAACATGAACGACGTTTTGCTATCCGTCCCACAAGCATGGGTCGCTCTACTGAAAAGTAGGCCTTCCTGAACACAGGCGAATGGGCGACTTGGAATTGGGAGGACCCCCCCCCCCCCCCCAAAAAAAAAAAAACCGAAAGGCCCCCCCCCCTTGAAAAGGAACCAAAAAAGGCCCCCGTTTTTTTTTTTTTTTTTTTTTTCCATTTTTTTTTTTTTTTTTTTTTTTTTTTTTTGGGGGGGGGGGGGGGGGGGGGGGGGGGGGAGGGGAAGGGAGACGGGGAGAAAATAACCACTTTGTGATTTTCTTGCTGTGTTCCATTGTTTTCTATATGTGACTTGCACTAGCATGGATGATAAGGAATATCTTACGCTATTTCGTCTACATTTTTTGTCATCCTCATTTGTATCCTTGTCTAGGTTATTGGAGGACCAAATGGTCGCGAGGGCCTGTTGGTGGGCCTGAAGAGCGGTTTGATCCTGAAGATTTTCATTGACAACGCGTTCCCCATTCAGTTAATAAAGCATCATGCATCCATTCGCTGCCTCGACCTTAGTTCGACCCGACAGAAACTGGCAGTTGTGGACGAGAATACGTCGATTCTTGTATTCAGCCTCCAGGTAAACCCCTTTCCCCTCAGCCTACCCTCCTTCCTCTCTCTCTCTCTCTCTCTCTCTCTCTCACACACACACACACACACACAGACACATACACACATACACACACACACAGACAGACACACACACACACACACACACACACACACACACAGATACTTCTGTCTGTTTGTGTGTCTCTCGCAGAGGATGGGAAAAGTGGGTGTGAAGCATTGCAATAGTGGAACGTCGGAGGAGGAGGCGGATTGGAAACTAGGTGAAAAGTGTTGGAATAGAGGGAGGAGGGGGGAGTACAGGATAGGGAGGTAGGGATAAAGGAGTGCGATCGAGGAGAAGAGATATGCGGACGAAGTGTCATAATAGGGGAGGGAGGGGTGTGTGCGCATGAATGAATATATGTGCATACATCAATTGTTTGTCTCATCCATCCATGCATCCCTCCCTCAGTCTCTTTCTTCCTCTTCCTTCCCTCTTCCCTCTTCCCTCTTCTCTCTCTCTCTCTCTCTCTCTCTCTCTCACTCTCTCTCTCTCTCTCACTCTCTCTCTCTCTCTCTTTGTTGAGGTAATTGTGCCGTTTTTTTTGGCAGGACATCTTGTAATCCTTTTACATCGTTATTGTGATTTTATGGTCCTCCTTTCTTTAGCTAATTTTTTGTTTTTTTTTAAATTCTTTTTTATGCTGTTGTGATCAGACGAAGGAGCTGTTGTTTGAAGAGAAAAATGCAAACAGTGTTGCATGGAACACAGAGATGGAGGACATGCTATGCTATTCCGGAAGTGGAATGCTTTCCATAAAAACAGGATCATTTCCTGTTCATCAGCAAAAGCTTCAGGGATTTGTTGTTGGTTTCAAGAGCTCAAAGATATTTTGTTTGCATTATGTCTGCATGCAGGTATGCTGATAAGGCCCAACCCCTGTTGAAGAAGTTTGTCTGGAGCATAAAAATCCTCAGTAGTAGTTGAAGAATGAAGATAATTGCTCGTTATTATATGGTCTCTACTACTCTCTAGACTCTCGATCTTTGTCGATATGAGGTGTGGGTTGGCGAGTCAGCTCCCTGGCATTATGTATTGACGATATTGAAATCTTTGGATGTGATTTTATAATGAATAATAAATATAATATTATTGATGAAATAATATGATTATAATAATTTATATACGACGTAGTTGCGAGGAACAAGCCCTCACGGGGCCCTATCAGACATCACATGTTCTGGGCAAAGGCCCCCAGCAAGCCAAGTGCCCGCCCTAAGTGAAGGCGGGCCTGAATATTCGTCAAAGGCCAAAATTCGACACTTTCATATGTGGCTATTCAGGCTCTTGCAGCACGCCAGTTGGCTGAATGGACGCGCGAGCCTCACTAAGCTGCATCGTACAGTTGGCCCAGGCCTTGATAGTTGCGCCTGGGCACACACGCACAAAGCAGGGCCGATACATTGAGAAGCAGGTCATCGGCCTATCCAAAAGCAGTACTGTCGACGCACCTACCTGGGAGCCCTGCACAGATGCAACAAACAGCCCAAGTCCGGAGACTCAGGCCATGCCCAATTGTAAATGGGGCCCAGGCCCTCAACTGTAGTCTCGGGCCTGGGCGCAGGGACTGAGGCCCAACCGGAAGCTACTGGAAGCTTCCAGCCAGGCCACACGCAGCATCCAGGAGGCTGTCACTTCCTATATGTGAGGCAGCCCAGGCCAGATATTCTGGCCTGCGTAGGCAATGCGGAAGTGCTACTGTGCTACTGCTTGATGCCGCGCTGTGGCCAAGGGCGCTGATGGGGCGCGTAGAGGTGAAGTGGGGCGCTGCATGGCGGCGGGGTGCAGGCAGCCATAGCCGGGCTGCTGGGCGCCAGGGGGTAAGAGGGCGATCTGGTGGTCTTCAGGGACGGAGGCGAAGTGTGGGGTATCAAGGTCTGATGAGGGTGACAAGTTATGTACCTGGTGCATGAAGAGAGGTCGGCTATGGTGTTGACATCATGTACATTGGTCTTCGAGAGTTGAAGTGAGCCTGTTGCGTGAACACCGCTGTAGGTAGGATAGGCGAGTAGAGTAGGCTGGGCGCTGGGCGCCAGACAGAGAGGAGCGACTTTGGA